GCTGCCTGCAGCCTCTGCAGCGCCGGTTCGATCCCCGGCTGCCGGTGAGGGTCCCGCATGGTGTGCAGACCTCTCCTGCCGCCCACTGCTCCCCTCAGCAGTGTACTTCGGTCCTTCTTCTGCCTGTTCTGCTCCCCGCTCTGGCTCTGGTGAATTCTCTCACCTCCCGTGCTTCTGACTGTACCCAGGGCTTGTATAAATAAATAAATAAATAAATCTTTAAAAAAACAACAACAAATAAAAACAACAAATAAAGCTGTTGTGGCATTTGTATACAAGTTTCTCTGTGAGCTTACTTTCGTTTCTCTGGAATAAATAATTAATAGTGCAATTACTTATTTTTGTGTTTGTTTTACTAATTGCTAGATGAGTGGTATTAAAATCAATTAAGATTGGCTTTTGTCCCAAGTTTTTTTTTCTCAAATATTGTGAAACCAGTTTCTTTTATTCATTAATTTATCTATCTACTTTTATGAAATCCTTTTATATCTGGTGGTCTTGTTTTAAAGTCAACCTTGTCTGATATTAATATATTCATGATTAGTGGTTGCAAATTTTTCCTCAACCATTTTCAGCCTTTCTATGTCCTTATATATAAAGTGTATCTTTAGTAAATAGTGTTTATTTTTATTTTTTAAGACCTGGGGTGTAGGCCAGAGTAGGGGGAGCAGTGAGAGGATTCATCGGAGACAGAGTGGGAAGCAGAACAGGCGGATTGACTAAAGTACACTACTGGGGGAACCAGGGGTGAGACAGGAAAGGTCTGCTGCACCATGTGGCTTGGGTTGGCATTGAACTCATGCTGCAGTGGCTGGTGATAGCTTGATAGTGCTGAGCTTTAACTCCTGCACCACCAGGGAGGCCCAATGGCATTTGGGCCTCCATACAGTGACAGTCTTAATGTTTTAACTGAAGTATTTAATCCATTTACATTTAATGCAATTTACAATATTGTTGATTTAAACATACCATTCTTTTGTTTTCCATTTATCCTATCCTTATTTCTGAATTTTAATATATTTTAATGCCTCTTATTTATTCTGTTGGATTTTTACCTCTACCTTATTATATCATTTAGTGATTATTCTGAGGAGTGCAAAATTTATTTTTAACTTATCAAAACCTAACATGAATTAGTGTTCTGTCATTTCACCTTTGATGTAAGAACCTTTAAAATCAAGCTTTACTCTAGTCTAGACCAAATCTATGGGCACATGAAAGAAGCAGCATTATGTTAACAGAAAAAGTCAGAAACTAGAATTGCAAAATTACTCAGAGCCTGTGTGATTATTGTATGCTAGCCTTCTTGAATACAAATGTAATTGAAATTAAAAAAATCCTTACCCTTTATGTCTAGCTGATTGAGATTGGTTGCTTGATATAGAGTAAAAAGTAACTCTTGAAATCAATTAAAAGGTTTATCAAATAGGGCCTCCCTGGTGGTGCAAGGGGTTAAGCACAGCACTGTGAAGCTATCCACAGCCTCTGTAGCACGAGTTCAATCCCCCGGCTAGCCAGGGAGCTACCTACATGGCGCAGCAGACCTCTCGTGACTTGCCTGCTTCTTGTGCCCCTGAGCAGTGTATTTCAGTTAGTCTGCCTGTTCTGTTCCCCACTCTGTCTCTGGTGAATCCTCTCACCCTCTGCAGCTCTGGCCTACACCCCAGTTCTTATATGCATAAATAAATAAATCTTTAAAAAAAGTTTATCAAATAACTTAAAAACCTGGGAGAGGGAGTGAATAAAATTTGTGAGTTTTTATTTATTTTACCCAATTTCAGGAGCTGTCATTTACTTTGTGAACCGCATCCTCTGGAGTTGTGCATTGGACAGCTTGTGCAACTTTTAGAGAAGATTTCCTAAGACAGGTCACATGAGAGAAATATTAAAAAGATGAAAGGGAGTTTGCTAGGCCAAGGAAATAGGGGAAGGACTTCATAGTCAGTCTTTTTTAAGAGCAGTGAGATATTATTTCCCAAGACAAAGAAGGGATGACTTCATGTTATAAAACCTTGCCTCTGGATCTATGCCCTGCCTTAAGATGGACTTCTTTGATAAAAAACTTTTCTGGAGATGTTCCTAATCTACATAGTTTAATCTTAACAGTTTCTCCTGAGGCTTATAGGGCCTCAAGTAATCATAGTTCCCCAAACCAAGGTGACACTTACTGGAAAACACTAACTCTGGGAATCTTGGAAAAAGCCTATTTACCCCTTTTTAAAGAGATCCATTCTATACCTATATTTAATTGAAAAGTCCAAAGAGGTTACCATCTTTGGGTAGAGGTGTCAGGTAAAGTTTAAGTGGTCCAACAATTTCATCAATCACTCAGTTTCTAAATTTTTCCATTCTACCTTCAATGGAGCTTTTTTTTTTTGTAATTGTATTTATCGGGAAGACAGATTTTCTGAATCTGAGTATACCCAGAAAAACCTTGAGTTTGTTCTGATTTGACTGGCTTAGATTACATGTCCATCTCTGAACTGATTAGTAAGGCTGGAACATTCCACTGTATTTATTTATTTTTTAAAGATTTATTTATTTATGCATACAAGAATTGGGGTACAGGCCAGAGGTACGGGCGGGGGGTGGGGGTGACAGGATTTACCTTTGAATGGGGAACAGAACAGGCAGGTTGACTGAAATGCACGGCTGAAGGGGGCAGTGGGTGAGTCAGGAGAGGTCTGCTGCGCCATGTGGGGAGTCACCTCCCTGGCCGGCCAGGGATGGAACTCATGCTGCAGTGGCTTTGGGTAGCTTCATAGTGCTGGATCTTAACCACCAGGGAGGCCCCAACATTCCACTATATTTAATGGCCTAGGCTTGGCTGTGCACCAAGGTTAATAGACCCCTACTTTCCATAAACTGGGTAGATCAGTTCCACCTAGGTCTCTTGAACAAAAAAATTTCAGGTATAAAAAGTGGGACTTCAAAGAACCAATGATGAGCACTCAGTTCAAGACAAATGACCTTAATTGAATTATTATTACTTTTTGGCAGTAACAAACTAGACATTTTAATTATTATTTACTTAACATTATTTATTTCATTAAAAGTAAGCAATAAAAGAACAGTTTGTAAAAGTTAAATTTTGTCCATGCATTGTTCTTAATAAATAATATATTCAGAAAATTACTATTTCACATTTGAGCAATTCAGTCCCAGCAGATTCTTGTTTTTTATGTAAATACATTCTTTTCCATATTCATTCAGGGAAAAAATTTGATGGATAAGACATATGTTTCAGCTTATGAGTTTAAACATGGTTACTGTGATTTTGTGTACTCATCTTTCCCCCATACCTTTTTGACCATAGAAATTATTGTCCCAGAGAGTTACAGTACATGTTTTAAATTTTCAGATGGAGTGTAAGAATCTATTTTGGGAATGTAAGAGATGTGCAAAGGGTTGACTTCTTAAAAAGCAGTGTCACAGTTATATTCATTAAAACCAAGAGGAGGCCAGTGGAAGTAAAGAGATTGACACGGAAGCAGGAGGATGCTTTTTTGTAGTGGTGGAAATGTCCTGTGACTGTATACATATACTGAGCATTTAATAACAGGTGAAATCAAAAGAAATAGCCAAACAACTTAATAACTATTACCATGCTTTTAAAAAAACAAGTTCTAAGAGTTTTTATAGTTTGTGTAGCATTGCATAAAATCAGGCAAAGAATCCCCTAATTAAATAATGGTCAAGTTTTTACCTTACCTATATGAGCTATATGAGCTTACCTATATGGTCCTTCATCTTCTAAGCACTTCAAGTGTTTTCTGTTTTTGTTAGACTTTAATATTACAAGTGCAAATGTGGAGTAAGTAAATGTATAGTCTGTTAACCCTCCCTTATCAGGTTTCTTCAAATAGAAAAGGGGACACATTTGTCGTGATTACGTATTCTGCTATCTAATTCAGTCTTCTAAATCATTATCTATTATAATGTAGACTATACCTCATTATTTTAAACTCTGGTCTCACACACACACACACACACACACACACACACACACACATATGAGACTATATAGCTGATAGTTTCTAACTGGCTTGGAGGCAACTGAAAGAGATCGTCATCAAACTGGACACCAGTGGGAAATTATACAAAGGCAAATACTCTTGAATGAATTAGAAGAAAGCCTATCATAGAGTCTGACCTATTCAGGGCCACTGGTCTATTTCTTGCTGCCAATTGGATTTCTATTTAAGACATCTCTTGTGGTGGAGTTCTGTCTTCCCTCACATTGAGGGAAATATGAGCCATATTACAGTGACTTAGGAATAACAAACTTCTTCAAAATCTGTTAAATGTACTTGAAGGCTACACCACTTGTGATACTCACTGTGAAGATCCTACTACAGTCATTCAGTTTGTCAAGGGTAGAGCTCGTGCCTGGATTCCTGCAGGACATGCTGTGTGCTCCTTAATAACTTTCTGCAATTGGATTTCTTACTAACTGGAGACATCTGTTATGTTTGCTGAGTATGGAAATTTGTAATATATCTTTTAAAAGACATTGAAATTAATTTTCTTTAGTCACTTGCTGCTGAATATTGTTGAATATTATTTAAAAAACCAAATTATTGGGTCTCCCTGGTGGCGCAAGGGGTTAAGATGCAACCTGTGAAGCTGTCCGCAGCCACTGTAGCACAAGTTTGATCCCTGGCCAGGGAGCTACCCACATGGCACAGCAGACCTCTCCTGTCTCACCCGCTACTCCCCTCAGCAGTGTATTTCAGTGTATTTCAGCCTGTTCTCTTCCCTGCTCTGTCTCTGGCGGATCCTATCACCCCCTGCACCTCTGGCCTTTACCCCAGTTCTTGTATGCATAAATGAATAAAAATAAATCTTAAAAAAATGTATTAAGTATAATAAAATTTCAATAACCAGTATGTTATTTTTTTAGATGATGATGTGCAGATAATTATACTTATGTGCACTTTGTGCATCAAATTATTTTCAGGAGTATTGCTAACTTGTGTTTGTATTTTGTTTATTTCTAGTGAAAATATTCTCTTTGGAATGGGAAATCCACTTCTTGACATCTCTGCTGTAGTGGATAAGGATTTCCTTGATAAGTAAGTATAAAATGTTTCATGTGTGTAATGTGAAACTTTAAAGAATGGATGAAAACTTTAGACATAAGTTTACTAATTCCTTTAATTGGAGGAAAACTCAGGAAATGCATTTGTTAAAAATAAGTGTATTATGACTCTTTGTTGAGTTAAGTGATCATAATTTTCCCTGGTAAAACTTAGGTATATTTGTTCATTCTTATTGTTTTCTTTCCCTAAAATATATTTTTTATTCTTTGCAATGAGGAATTATATATGATTTGTCTATAATGTTTTAATTCCCAAATTGAAAAATTATGTGAACTACTTCTATAATGGTACCATAATATAAAAGAAAAAAAAGATATGATTAGAGAGGATAATAAGAATATGAGCAACATAATTCAAAGGTCACACATTTCCTTATTTCCCTCTAATTAGTAATTTTTGAATTTGCTGTGTTAGCTGAAAAATCAGTTTGTACTTATCTGTTTATAATTTTAACTATTTTGGGCCTCCCTGGTAGCACAGGGGTAAAGCCATCCTCAGCCACTGGGGCACGAGTTCGATCCCTCGCCGGCCAGGGAACAACCCACATGGTGCAGCAGACCTCTCCTATCTCACCCACTGCTCCTCTCAGCAGGGTATTTCGGTCAGTCTGCCTATTCTGTTCCCCACTCTGTCTCTGGTGAATCCTCTTACCTCTCACACCTCTGGCTTATGCCCCAGTTCATGCATACATAAATAAATAAATCTTAATAATTTTAATTATTTTATTTGTGTACACAGCTGTCTGGACATATTTTCATTTCTTTTGGGCATGTATATTGGAATTTCTATGGAAAATTTTTTAGCTTTTTGAGGAGCCACCTAATTGTTTTCTATACTGGTTCCGTCATTTTATACTCTTACTGGCAGTGTATGAGAACTTCATTTTCTCTATATCCTTGCCAAAACATGGTTCTTTTCCCTTCTTTTAACTAGAGCCAACCTAATAAGTATATTTCACTATGGTTTTGATTTACATTTTCCTAACAGCTAATGATGTTGAACATCTTTCACATGCTTATTTTCCATTTGTTTATCTTTGGAAAAATGACTCTAAAAATTCTTTGCCCAATTTTTTTTTTCCTCTTACAAAGAACTTTTACTCTTCCCATTAGAAATTTCCTGGTTTTTGATAAAATGTTAAAATAGATAAGAAAACTGGAATGTAAGAGGTTTTATTCAACAGTAAGAGAGCTTTGTTTTAAAACAGGTAGCAATAATACTTACATTAGACTTTGTGTTTATAGTCCATGGCTATCACCAAAAGTAGGATAGTGTCTAGGTTGACAACAGTCTACAGCATGAAAACAGGGTTCTGGCACTCCAGGGTATATAGTGGGATACTTGGAGGCTTCAGGCCTGAAGTTAAAATACTGGTCATTTCTCATTTGTTGGCATAAGTAGCATTATTAGATCATGGCAAATAACAAATGGAGGCTATTATTAACTATATTACAGACGGTCAAAACTTGGTCTCTGGTCAGAAAGGCAGGAACCTGCCTGTCTTGAAGTTAATGAATTTAGATGAGGAGAAATTTTGATAGACTTCTTTAAAGAAATCTGCTCTATTCTCTTCTGTTCTATCTATTAGATAATTTTTTGTAGTTTTACCTCATAAGTTTTTCTTGTTTTCTTTCATTCTCTTTAGAAAAAGGTTGTCTTCACTGTTGCTAAAAATATAGAACTAACAAATCAGAGCAAAGCATTATAACTTGCATTATCCTGTACAACATGTTTTTCTGCATTTTTGAGGATATGATTCATGTTTAAAATGTTAAATATTTTGGACAAAAGCATTTTAAAGCCATATTACATACTTTCCTGCTTTCTTGAATTGAACATAGGAAATACAATTTAAAGTATTTTTATGATCCATAATTCTCATTATGAACTACTGTTGGATCATGCTCTGTAAACAGTTATTAGTACCTCAATGAAATTTCTTGATGAACTTATAGTAGAGGAATATACAAGAGAATTAAAAATTATAAAGCAGGGCCTCCCCGGTGGCGCAGCGGTTGAGCGCTGGGTTGCTAAGCTGCCCGCGGCCTCTGCCGCGACCGTTCGATCACCGGCTGCTCCCGGCCACCGGAGGAGGGTCCCACATGGCACGCAGACCTCTCCTGCCGCCCGCTGCTCCCCTCAGCAGTGTACTTCGGTCCTTCTGCCTGCCCTGCTCCCCGCTCTGGCTCTGGTGAATTCTTTCACCCTCCCGCGCTTCTGACTGTACCCAGTGCATGTATAAACAAAACAAACAAACAAACAAACAAATAAATAAAACATGCCTCTATTAAAAAAAAATTATAAAGCAACTTTATAATACTATACTATTGATAACCACAAGGTACTTCAAAATGGAGCACCTAATTCAAAACAGGGATGTGTGCTCTGGGGTAAGGGTTAAGGGAAGTGTCCAAAAGAGAGATGTTTCCCAAGGAATAAAGAGAAGTAGCTAAATAAAGAAGAAAGAAGAGCATAGAGAATTCTAGGAACTCAAAGGAGTTTAGTTTGGTACAATCATGGGGTACAGATGGCAAAATTGAAAGAGATAATAATGGAGAGGTAGGCCAGATAATGAAGAATAGTGAATGCCAAGATTAAGTGTTTGACATTTAGGGCCTCCCTGGTGTGCAAGGGGTTGAGCGCAGTGCAGTGCTGTGAACCTGTCCGCAGCCTCTGCAGCATGATTTCTATTCCTGGCCGGCCAGGGAGCTGCCCACATGGCGCAGCAGACCTCTCCTTTCTCGCCCACTGCTCCCCTTAGCTGTGTATTTCAGTATATCCGCCTGTTCTGCTCCCCACCCTGTCTCTGGTGAATCCTTTTACCCCTCAAACCTCTGGCCTGTACTCCAGCTCTTGTATACATAAATAAATCTTTAAAAAAAAAAAAAAACAAATTAAAAAATCATTTAGTGAAAATATGAGGCTAACCATTTTGCATAATTAACAATGTTTTTAAAAATAAAAGGTGTAAGGAAAGAATAATTTAGGAATACAGAATATAATTCTGTTTATTTAGATTTAAATCTAGTTTCATTACTTTGCTTTCAGCATTCTCTAATTGAGTTTTAATCATTATCTAGTTTATTAAAGAGAATTTATAATACCATTTTCATAAACCTTGTAATTTTATGCTTTTATTATCACTCTGACCCTGTGGTTTACTTATAATCCATTTCTTTGTAAGCCTCTTAAGTTTCAGATTTAGTCTGAAACATTGTTATGGTGATTAATATTTCGGCCTACCTTTCCTTTTTAATATGTTTTAATCAGTTTTTTCATTATAAGAACCAATTAAAGATACTAAGTTATTTAAAATACTGTCATACCCACACTCTCAATACTTGATTATTTCTGCTAGTTTTACAAAATTTTGTGTGATACTATTAGAATTCATTAGACTATGTAGTAATATTTGCAGATTTCTAGACATTTTACTTGCTTAATTTTCAGAGGGCAATCATAGTTGCGAGATTATATGGAATATTCTCACCCTGCTGTTAGACACTCTTAGCTTGACATTAACTCTGTGATATTACATAGAGAATTTTAATGTGACTGGGTTGTTTCTGGACTTCCCAGTCTCTTCAAGGACCTTTCAGGGCTTTAAATTCTACTATGCTAATCTTCAGGGAAAGAGCACATTTGAACAAATAATTCCCTTTCAGTATCTGATAAAAGAACCAAACTTTATTACTGTTTGTTGCACACTACTGCTGTTCTAACATATCTTAATAGTTATCTATAATATATTAATACATTTTATTTATGTAGTCTGATATTTAATTATAAAATTAAAAAAGAATACCATTTTCCCCTTTTCCCATGGTGGGAATACCATTACTGGAATTTATTCTTTTTTGCTTTAAGTATGTCTTCCTTAACCAGATAGGGTGGAGGAAAAGTATTCCTCTTTCTCTCATACTACTTCTTCTCTTCTTCCCCCATTGTCTCTCCCCTCCAATTTCTATCCTTTTTTCTACTTGCCACCCATTGCTGTCAGTATTTCTTTTAAAAATATTAAAATTAAATTTATTTGAAGGTTTTATATAAGAAAATTTCAAACTAATCTTTGGATGCTTGCATGTTCATCGGTTGAAAATTTAAGTAAAACTATATCCAGATAAATATCATAACCATATTCTAAATTGTTATATGCATTTTTAAAAATTGAGATGTAATTGACATATGTTGGTTTCTAATGTACATGATTTGATACTTATATATATTGTGAAATGATCACCACAAAATTTAAACATTCATCACTATATGATTATATAAATTTTATACTTATATGTATTTGTTTTTATTATTTCTTTTCCAATATAAAAATAATATGCTTACTATTTACAGAAAGCACATAGAGGAAAAAAAATCCTCTGTCATGCTATGTATTTTGATAGTCATGTTTCCCATTTTTTTGTGGCATGTATTGTGATCTGTCAAGACATCTAACTAATCATGTCTTTAGGAAGCAAAACCCAATGAAAAATTGACTGAACATTATATTATTTTCTGAATTACAGAGTAGAAAGTTGAGGTATAGCCCTCTAATTTCTGTTTCCTATAAGTTGAATGTTTTCCTTGAACTTTACTAATTTAGAACATTGAGTTTTCAGAGACTAAATGTCATAGATTCAAAGGGCTGTATATTTTTGTTATGCCAACAGTGTTTAGGTTAGCAAAATAAGACATACTAAATGAAAATGAGAGCTACATATAATTATAATCTCAGATTTAAGCATTTAACTACATTTTAGTGATCAGTGGCACCAATTTATTAGTAAGGATTATGGTCTTGCTGATATAATTGCATTTACTTTTGTTTTTTTACAGGTAGAGAAAATGAAATAAATAGCAGCTAATAATAAGGATCCATATACAGTAATGGGTGGTGTGGAGTTGAAGTTGAGTGGGAGAAATGGCTGATTTAATATTTTCATTAAGACATTGAAATAAAAAAAGGAAGGTCTAAT